CAAACATTCTCCAAACGTTTGGACTAAATCGCTTAGAGGGTGTTCAGGATGAGCAGCCAGGAGCAAGAGAGACATGACTGAATGTCAGAAGTACGTCCAAGTACAGAGTTTTTCAAAAAGCACATTCAAGTAATATGAGGCCACTCGGACTGAAAACAAACTGAATCCTATTAGGAGCTGAAAGAATCATTACATCACATTAAAGATACTATATGTCCTTACAAAAGATAAAATTAATAAAAAAAGAACTAACCAACTATATCTAAAATATATTAAACACAAATATTCTCTTTCCCTGAAGGCATTTCTGTCCTCCACAATCTGTTCCCAACCCACCTTCCTAACTTGTCTTCTAAATTGCCTTCCCACTCTCCCTTCAGTTGTACTGCACTATAGTGTCCTCAGATAAGACATGTGTTTTCTCCTAGAAGACTACAATTAATTGTTCTTTGATTGAGAAGTCTGCCCCATGCCTCCCTGCAGAACTAGTAACTTTCTCTGCTCTCTCAGGCTGTTCTCTTCAGTGTTAATTTTCTCTCTTTCTCTAAGACTTTACTGTAAGATGCTTACAATAAGAACCTGTCCTTATTTATCCCAGAGTTTATAATATAAAACGGTCAAATACGTGGTTTTTAGAATGAGGTGAAATTTGTAAGATAAACACTTGTCATTAGAAATCACTTAAATAGGAAGAGCATATGCTGTGTATGTCCATGATGTATAATAATATCCATGATTCTGTTTAATAAAAAAAAAAAAGCAAGAAGGTAGAATTGGCTGGGGCTTAGCTGTTGTTCATTGGTCAGCTTGATTTATAGATAAGGATGCTGTGACACAGAGTGATTAAATGACCATCTTTACTGTCATTAAAAACCTCACCAAGTAAACAGTCAGAACTTAAACAATGTCTTTTTAAAAATGTTTTTAAGATGATTTTAGAGAGAGAGAAAAGGAAAGCGAGGGAAAGAGAGAGAGACATTGACTTGTTGTTCCACTTATTTATGCATTCACTAGTTCATTCTTCTGTGTGCCCTGACCAGAGACTAGAACATGCAGCCTTGGTGTACAGGAACAATGCTCTAACAACTGAGCTACCCGGCTGGCCGGCGTGGAAACCAATGTCTCTTTATTCATGGTGACACACAGTGTGTTCAGTCATTTACTTATTTTGCATAGTGTAACTCACCTTCAGTAAGCAAAAGATTATTCCCACCCTTGTAAATATCTTACAAAGAAAAGAAATCCGGAAATTTTACCTCCATTAGCAGAACAAAGTCCTAAAGGAAGGTGATGTAAAATGGAAAGAACTCTCAAGCGGGTGTAAGATTGTGAGATTCCCTAGCTTCGCACCTTCAGTGTTTTCTGGGAAGTTGATAATAGTGTGTGTGAAATCTAGCCCTGCACCTGGCACACAGTCAACTGTTTGTTCACTTTTAAATAAAAAGCTATGTTAAAGGTGGCTGTGGCCGTGTGTGTGCGCCCGTGCGCGCATTGGGAGAAGAAAACCCATTGCTATCATTTTCAGGTGGTCTGTGTAGCAGATAATTTTGATACGGCAATATTTTTTAAATTTGCCACATTATATGATGTGCCATTCTCACTATCTTTCCAACTTTGAATCACAAGTTCCAAATATTTATTTCTACTTTAAAGGCAGCTTTAACAGTTTGATTTTTCTAACATGCTGCCAAATGAAACACCAAAAGGAAATGTGTAACAAGTAGAGTTTGTTTTGGAATTCCTGTAAAGAAGAACTTCTTAGAGTTTAGTATTGGAAATGATTAATACGATAATAAGCAAATAGGGGAATAGTGAGTTTTGAGCATATATTGCAATGATTTTCCTCCTAAAAAAATATCAGGAGGGGTGGGGTTAGATACTCCTTATCTAAAAGCACAGAAACCTATGACTGAGTGATTGTTCAACAGTGAGCAAAACCCATGCCCACTCATATCTTAATCTCCTGAATTGTTTATGTGATAGTAGAGTCCAAGGGGAGTATATTTAGTGAAAATATCATACATCTTGGGAACTGGGTAACAAGTTTAAGTCAGACTTGTGCTAAGTATTTGCCGTGGGACTTTGGGTAATTTGCTTAACTGATTTTTTTTTCTTATCCAACAAAAAATGGGGGGTTACATACAATAGCCTGACTACTCTACAGTCTGGGTGTAAGAGCCAGATGACATAGAATGTGTAAAACACAAAGTGCTTTTTCAGCAAAAAGATCTTTATTACCACTGTACCTACCACATTATAATTATATTATCACTCTTATAATTATCCAAGCTTTAGTTCCTTGAAAGAAAGTGAATGCTTGCTTTTGATTATTTGCTTTTATCACCACCTGACATGAAAATGATGCTCCCACATTCCCAAGCAAATAAGGAAATCACAGTATTGCTGCCAGAAAGACTATGTTCTGAAGTCAGAATTGTGTGGCTTCAAGTCCAATTCACTGAACTTGAAACACACTGCATGGAACTAAAATTATTATGTTGTTATGGTTCTTTTTCATAAATCTTGGGCTTCCCTTTAGAGGAGGATCTATATGAAAGACCCCAGAACAACAAGATAACACTCTTACCTACAGCATATACATGTATGGCACTCTAGGGTTTGCAGGCTATTTCTCCTTTGTTCCCCCCATCAATATCGTTGCTTTGAGAGGGGTACCAACAAGTCTGTCGGCACATAGGTCATTGAGAGAGGTGGTACCTTGATGCACGAGATGCTGGCTGATCCCCCAGCATGTGGAATTATCCTTTCTCTTCCCCTGGTAACCCAGAGCCAGTTTCCCCTTTTATTTTTGTCAACAACACTTCCTTTTTGTCCCTCTCTCTCTATCTAGGAAGTACATCACTGACACAGACACAATACACCTTTTCATAAGGAAGCAAGTAAATATGTGCCAGATGGGCTGAGGGGATTACAGCATGTTTCCTGCTCCCATAGAGACTCAATGGAGCTGGTATGAGAACTTATCTTATTCAAGAAGTCAGCTTCCCCAGCAGAATTATGAGTCACAGTTTCTGAGTAGAAAGCTCGCTTTCCAAAAGAATTTGGGGTGGGGGTGGGAACTCCTTGGAGGAATTACAGCAAAGGTCATTCAGATAAGGATCACTGCCAAGACCCCTGGGGAAGCACCAGCACCTGCCAACTTTTGGGACTTTGCAATTCTCTTTGCTATACAGTCACCCCTTCCTTTTCCTTCAAGGTGAGATGGCACATAAAACCATGAGGATGAATTGCTGGTATGAATCCAAACAAGAAGTTCCATTACAAAATTGGCCAATTTTGCTAAAAAAGAGATGTGAAGGGAAAATATAAATATATATATATACATATTCATGTGTATAAATACACACACATATAGAGAGAGAGAGAGAGCAAGAAGGGAGGAGGAGAAAAGAGGGAGGGAGGAAATAAGGCAGAGGTTGGAGGAAGAAGAAAGAGAAGGGAGAAAGAGAAGGGAAGGGAGGAGGAGATGAGAATGAGAGAATAGAATGAGTTAAGACAATGTCAAAAATAATGAGTATCACGAAGAAAACTAAAGCAGGATAGAAGAGTAGACAGCAATTGGCAGGACTATTTTAGTTAAGGTGTTAAGGAAGGCCTCTGTAAGCAGATGATGTCCAGGTATAGAATTAAATAAAATTCAGCATTTATAAACATCAGGACATCATGGCATTGACAGGTCAAATAGGACACTCAATCAAGCAGGACAGATGCTGGTCAAAATGGTCAGTAGAGCTGTACAGTGGTGTATCCCACCTGAATATCGCTCCTGGTTATAAACACTTTTCTCTGTAAAGACCCTAAGGGCCCACAAGATTGAAAGTTCTCTCAGCTTTGAGCTGTACTCTTTTCTACTTATGCCCTTCCCTTAGTACAATTTTTGCTTTCCAATGAAATATTTTAGTGGCAAAGCAAAACTGAAAGACACCGAGAAAAGATTACCAGGACAGTAGGAGGAATTAAACCCATGCCATGTGACAGACAGTTGAAGGCATAGATTAGAGAGCATGGCCATGCTGATACAATCACTGCTTTAACATTGTGAAGGCCTCTCACATAGAAGAGGAAATAAAGCAATAATATTCAAAGTATGGCCATGGTCTTCAGGAAAATTATACATGAAAAGCTTTTTTTAAAATTAAGATACCTAGTTTCCCTGCATTAAAATTAGAAAACCATTGGATGATGTATTTTCTATTTAAATCAAAAAGTTGAACCAAAGAAATGCATGGAAATGGTATAGAGACAAATTTTAGTTATATGTACAAAAATCTTTCTAAGAATTTGATGAGTTCAAAGATATAATGGATTGCAATTAAATAATCACTAGTTAGAAGTATCAGGAAATGGTTATGAATGGTAATTCTAGAGATGAGAGGAGACCTGAGGAGATAAATGTTCATGTCCCTTGGAACTCTGATTTCATATAATCTAGGTCCTTAATGATCATGTTTGGTTATTGAAACTCAATAAAGGCTTTGGCTGGCTCTGCTTTTGAAGCAACACCCAAAGAAAGAATGAGCCTAATGACCAGTCTTTCTTTCCCTATACAGAAGCAGTGTGACAGAAGCTTGTCATCATTTCTTTGTTTTTATAAGGTCTCAGGGGACTGTTCCCACCAAGGCCTTCTCTACCCCTGGCTCAAGTTTGGAAAACCGAGTAGTGCTACCATCACTGTCATTTCTTTTCCCATAGGACCTGAGGTAAGAAAAAGAAGCAGGATTCAAGTTGGCTTGAATGTGAAGATTATGCAAAAGTTTTATATTCTTGCACACTGAATTGCTACCCTAAGTGTGCAGTGACCTGCAAACATTAGAGATGTCAGTAGTTCCTCCCATCATCAAAATTTTATGATTCTGTGCTTCCACAGAAGACAATGGAAATAGCAATATAATGTTCTCCTACTCAGTTTCAGAAAGACTTAAAATACTACCCAATGCATGACTTCCATTTCAATAGATTGTCAAAAGCCATTCACTTACCCGAGGCATCACTCTGCAGGATCCCGTAGAAGTAGAGACTCATTACACACCACAGAAGTCCCATCTTGTCCACCTAAATACAAAAGTAAGGGAGAATAATTATTACTCTCAGTACTTAAATAATATTTAGTGCATAAGCATGCTGACTGTGGACCAGGAAGTATTCTAACGGCTTTATACCATTAACAAATATAATTGTCAGAAACAACCAATAAGCTAGGCTTTTTAAAAATCCCTATATTATAGATAAGGAAACTGAGACATGTTTAAATAGCATAACCAAGATCCTTTGGGTAGAAAGAGGTAGAATAATGACCAAATTCCAGCAGCCTGGCTCCAGAACAATTTCTTAATCACTGAACTACAACTTCCTTCTTAAAAACACTCTGGATTTTGTTTTTCATCAGAGTCACATTCTGGAAGGTAAGTTTGATCTTCTTACCCTTCTTTGCATTTCCTTGGAAATGTTTTGTAATCCAGGCACTTTTCTTTCTTCGTGAAGAATAGAAAATCTAGAAATCCTGAATTCAGATGTGGTCAGCAGTCCACTTACAGTGAATTTATAGTAAAGGGAAATACGTAAACCTCATGCCCCGTGGTGGCCACTCTTCTCTTCTCACTGGAAAAGACAAATGATGAAGCTTGAATCCAATTTCTGTGATTTTTAGCCTTTCTATTGATAACCAATTGAAACAGTCAACTACAAAGAACCATGCCCTTACATTTGGTTGGGTGGTCTTTTAATGCTTAAGACCTGGAGATTTAACAGTCTGTGAAATATGTATTTCCCTACTACCCTGGACATATCTGAACCTTGATAAAACTTCTCTAGAATTATAAATACAGAAACCTGTATATTATTGAGAAATTTCATACTTAAGATCTCCACTTTCTGTATTAAACACAGCAGCTATATATAAGGGTGCTTACAGTGGTGTTGGAAACTTGTCCAGATCCTATTTCTAGTAAGTTACAGAGATGGTCTTTATACCCATATCTAGCCAACTACAAGTGTTATTATCACAAACAATAGGCTATGCCACAAGTTTCATGAGCACAGGGACCCACCAGTCTTAAAAGGTCAAAGATCATATAACAACATTGAAAATGGGACAGTTTTAAGAGTGTTACATGGAAACAAAAAGGTATAAAGTGGTACTGTCCAAGCAATCCGAAGTGTGTGGCCACTTTAAAGGCAATGCAAGTTTCCAACTGCCACCTCTCTTGACCACATACCATTAAAAATCTCTGGTTCATTTTATGCTTCCACAAATAACAAGTGGGTTGATTATACCTTAAATAATTATTTTATTTCAAAGATAAAATAACTCTTATCACCACCCTTCCCTTTCCATTCTTAAATCATTACCTTAGGGAACTCTTATCTCTATCAGTCATTCATTTATTCTATAAAACATGTATTGAAAAGTATCTGTTTATAAATTAGATTTAGGGCCTCCTCCACCTCTCCCAGTAGAAGAGCTAAACCACATGCAAACCACTTCAATGACATCGACCATGAACAACATGAATGCAGAGACACTATAAGATATGTAAAGATTTACCAAACAGAAGTTCTAGCACTAGGCAGAGGTTAGCAGAGACTTAAAAAGAATACAAAAATAACTACAACAGAGAATAAACAGTGATAAAATAGTCACAGAGGAACAGATAAGTGTTATTGAAGATTACCAAAAGACAGAGATGACTGCAGCTAAGGCAATTGAAGAAGACGAAATGCAAGAGGTAGCTTTTGAACTAGCAAGAACTGGTTTGGAAATGGAGAATAACGCTCAAAGAAATAGTGAAAGAGATAGAGAAAGCATGGTCCATATATAGGAAATAGTCTATAAATAATTCAGCTTGGCTTAAGCAAAGAGTATTAAGAAAAGAACTATAGAAGATTTTGTTGGAAAGCAGGAAGAGTTAGGATTACAATACAACAAAGTTTTGAATAGCAGGTTAAAACTTGAAATGTAATTTTAACAGCAAATAGAGAAATCACTGAAGGTTTCTGATTAGAGGGCTGACATTATCATCAAGTTCTGCCTTATAGAGATCATTCTTCTAGGCACGTTGGATGGATTGCCACTGAATTCTGTCTCGAAATCATTTTGACTCCTGAGTCTGCCATCACAGTAATTGTTATACCCCTAGCTTTGTGTCATCTATAAACTTGCTCAGCATGCCACCTATGTCCTCACCCAAGTCATTAATAAAATTAATTAATAATTCTGCATTAATCCTTGTCAGTGGAGAGCAACTAGATATTTAATTTCAGATTCAGGCCACAGTACTTTCAGCCCTAATACTATTCCTAAAGCAACACTTAGAAGACATTCTAATTAGTGTGATTGAGGATCTTAATTGATATTCTCATGAGTAACTGGATTATGCCAGAGGCAGCAAAGAGTCAGGTCACCGAGGTAAAGCTAATCTACAGATGACTTGTGTGCAAAGACGAATCCAGGGTCAGTCCCGTCTGTGATGAATTAGAATAAAACAGACTGAAAAGAAATTGTGATCCCACAGGCTGGTTTTGACAGACTAAAGATATCAAGGTTAATGGGAGGCAGTTGGCTGGTCTGAGACCTCTTCAAGAAGGCAGGTTCATTTAACATCATCTTTCTTTCTGCCTCAGAATTTTATTATCGTGACTAGTAATACACTTAGGTTCTAGTTCACATGAAGAGGGGGCGCTGGGTATTGGCAGAGATGGAGAAACTGTCAGAGAGCAATGGAACCTGCCTAATGACACATAGTTCCTCATGGTCTGAATTGCAATCTGGCTTTAGATTACTGTGATGGGGTTTAATAGACTCTGCCCTTGCTTCCGATGATCAAATTTTTATATAATAAATTTATAGTCAGCCTTTCCTGCATTATCCATTTTATCTATTATATGATCATTTTCATACTTCCTGTCTGAAGTATTGGTATTTCTTTCATATTTAATGTCATTTTTTTCCTGGTATATCAACTTGTATGCTTATATCACCTAGTGAGAAATTTCATATATGCACTCAGGTCTACGTAATAAATAGCCACGTTAATAATGATTGTTAACATGTGCTCAGAACTTTAACATTGACCTCTGTATATGAATCATTCTATTTTCTGCATTCTCTCAGCTTAATAATAGGACCTCCTTATCTCTGAGTTATCCTTGACCATTGGCTTCTTGCACTGAGCCAGCAGGTAACAGACTAAAACAACTAGATTTGCTTTCCTAGGACAGTCATTTCTCTAACAATTTGCTCTGCCTTCCTTCTGCACAGCGGCATTTCAATAGGCCACGGGACTGGACTTCTCCCTCAGTTTCCTGATTCCACACACAGCTCCATGCTTGGATCACAGCTACTCTCTGAAGCCCATCAGCCTCCTCGGGGCTTGGATGTACAACCTGGTGTTCGTCAGCACTCTTTTCGAGGAACCTGCCTCTTGTCCCCTGTAAGGTCTTCTCTAAACTGGATTAGCTTCCACAGCCATGAAGCTGCTATTGCCTGCTTCATTCCTGGTCAACAGATGCCCTTGGCTATGACCTGCCTACTGAAAACTTGGCTTCTAACACCAAAGCACTTACCCTGGTTGGTTATCCCCATGTGAGCCCAGCTCTGAAGCCACAGTAAGTCTGAGGACTTACTTGAGTCCTGATCCCATCCGACCCTTTCTTCCCCCTTCTCTAACTTCCTAGTAAAGTGTAAACAGATCTTGCACATCTATACCAAAGAGGCTTTTTAAGGACATAGGTCAAATTATTAATTATCCCATTTCACAGAAAAGGAGACAGCATTTATTTAAAACTCAGACTTTTTTCATCATCAGTCTTTTGTTTAGTTTCTAGGGTTTTGATCCATAAAAGGGTCTTTGTGGAGAATATTTCAGAATACAGTATTTACCAATTAAAAAGTTTCAGCAGAGTAACATGAAAGTCTCTAATTCTAGGTAAAACAAAGTAAGCAAACTTTACCTGTCTTTCTCAATGAAAGCAGCTGTAAGCCTGGGCAGAATGTGTGGAGTAACTACTTGAGGACTCTAAAAATTAAATAATGGCACATTATTTTCAAATACATGTCAGCCATGTCATGCACCATAAATCATACCTTAACAAATATGAAGAATTAAAAGTCTATCCTCTAACAACAGAATTAACCTAGAAATCAATAAAAGAAAAATAACAGGGTAATTTCCAAATACTTAGAAATTAAGGAATATACTTCTAAATAACCCATGGGTCAACAAGAACGTCTCAGGGAAATTAGAAAATATTTTGAACTGAACAAATATGAAAAAATTAAACAATATATCAAAATGTGTGGGATGTGGTTGAAGGAGCACATACAGGATAATCAGTAGCATTACAGGCCTACATTAGAAAAGAAGAAAGACTTCTGTCTTAAGGGCTTGGAAAATAGAAAAATAAATCAACCAAACAAAATAAAAATAAAACATAATGAAGAATAAAGATAAAAAAATTTCAGATAGAAAGAAATAATGAATCCAAAAGTTGGTACTTAAAAAAACTGCTAAATCTCTAGCTAGGGAACCAAGAAGAAAAAAAAACACATATCACTAATATATGAAAGAATATAAGAGGAATGAAAGAGGACACACCACTACCAGTTACACAACCATTAAATTGGTAATAAGGTGATGCTCAAAACCTTAGGCACATAAATCCCACAGTTTAGATGAAATGGACCAACATCTTAAAAACCACCAACTACCAAAGCTCAACTGGAATGAAATAGATAATTTCATTGTTCCTATTATTATGAAAAGAAATTAAATTTTCAGTTAGAAACCTTCCAAGAAATACACTCCCAAGCTCCAGATGGTTTAACTGGTGGATTCAATCAAACATTTAAAAAATAAATAACATCAACTCTACAGAATCTCTTTCAGAAAATAGAAGATGACAAAAGAGTTGCCAATTCACTTTATGAGACATTCCTCTGGTCCTAACAGCTGCCATCGTTAGCACAAGAAAAGAAATCTATAGATACCCCACAACCAAGTAGCTTATTCTAGAATGCAAGCTTGGTCTCAGCGTTTGAAAAGTCTGAGGAAGAAAAACCAATTGAGGCAAGAAGAGCATTTTACAAAATGCCATATCCATTCCTAATAAACACTCCCAGCAAACTAAAAATAGAAGGGAACTTCCTGAAACTGATAAAGGGCATCTGCAAAAAACCTACAGCTAACATTACATCACATGTTGAAAGATTGAATTCTTCTCCAGTTAGATCAGGAGCAAGGCAAATGTGTTCATTCTTAGTACTAGTCAACATCATTCTCAAGTCTTAGTGCAATAAGGCTATTCACAGATGACATAATTTTCAACATACATAAATCTTAAGGAATCTATTAAAAATAAAACTAAGTAAAGTCACAGAATATGTAGCCATACACAAAAATTAAACATATTACTATATACTAGCAATGAAACATGGGAAACAATTTTTATAAGATTGTTACAATAACTAAAACAAAAATGAAAAGTCTAAACAAACCTGTACAAGATCTGTATGTGCACATTTAGAAAATGTTGATAAATCAAAGAAGACCTAAATAAATGGAAATATGTGGTTGGCAGAATGGCTTCATGCCTTAGATCCCTGAAATCTGTTGTTACCTTACTGAGCAAAAGGGACTTTACAAATACAATTAAAGTTATAAACCTTAAAATTGGGAGATTATGCTGGATTATTCAAGTGAGCCCAATCTATCACAGGGGCCCCTAAATGAAGATTAACTTTCTCCGGTTAAAGTCAGAGGGATGTAGCAGAAGGATAAATCAAAGAAAAGCAAGAAAAGAACTCAGAGGACCTTTGACATTAAAGGAAAAATACAGCAACGTATCAAGAAATGCAGGTGGCCTTAGAGGGCTTCTGACTCACAGAAATTGTGATATAATAAGAGGGTGTTGCTGTAGGATACTAGATTCTGATAATTTATTACGGTAGTAACAAACAATAATACAATAGACATAACATATTCATGAACTGAAAGGCTCCACATAGAAAAGATGTCAGTGTTTCCTCAAATTAATTGACAGATTTAGTAAAATTCTAATAAAAAATCCTAGCAAGATTTGTTTATAGATATAGACAAGCTGAGTATTAAATTTATTTGGAAAGAGCAATGCCTTACATGTTGAAACCCATTTTGAAAAAGAAGAACAAAGTTGTAGGAATCACACTACAAACAACTCAATTTTAAAATGTCAAAAATCTTAGAGACACTTTACAAATAGGATACAGTAGTCCCCTCCTTATCTGTGATTTCACATCCTATGGTTTCCATTACCAACAGTCAACTGCAGTCCAAAAATATGAAATAGAAAGTTCCAAAAATAAACAATTCAAAATTTCAAATTGCACACCATTCTGAGGAGTTGAAGGAAATCTCTCATAGTCCAGCTCTGTCCTGCCTGTGCTGTGGATCCTCCCTTTGCCCAGCGGACTCTGCCTACCAGTCACTTAGCAGCCCTCTCGTTTATCAGATCCCCTGTAGAGTAGCACAGAGCTTGTTCTCAAGTAGTGCTTATTTGACTTAATAATAGCCCCTCGCACAAGAGTAGTGATGCTGTAAAGTAGTGAAGCTGTAAAGTGCTTCCTTTAAGTGATAATGTATGTACCTATAGGAAAAAATCAAAACAAAACAAAACAAAGCAAAACATTATAGGTAGCATTTTGTACTCCACAATTTCAGTCATCCATCCACTGAGAGTCTTGAAACATACTTGCCTCATATGGAGAGACTTACCATTTTCAAAGAAAATATAAATTAAAACCACAAGATTAGATAACCATGACACACTTTTCAGAATAACCAAAAAAAGAAACACTGATGATACAAAGTGCTGAAGAGAACACAGAGAAACTGGAACTCCCGTGCTGCTAGGACTGGAAGAGGGCACAGCCCCTTTGGAGAACAGTTTGGCAGGTTCTTATAAAGTTAAACATATTCTTACCATAGGGTGTAGCAATCCCTTCCTAGGAGCTTATCTAAGAGAAGTGGAAACATTCACAGAAAAATCTATATGCAAATGCTTATAACAGTTCTATTATTAATTGCCAAAACCTGGAAAGAAGTCAAACACCTTTCAACAGGCAAATGGATAAACTCTGGTACATCCAAAAAGTAGATTGCTTTTCAGCAATACAAAGCAATGAGCTGTTGTTAACAATAGCTTGGATGGATCTCAAAAGCATTATGCTGAGTGAAAAAAAAAAAGCCTGCCTCAATAGGCTATCGTCTGTCTAATTCCATTTAAATGACATCCCCTTCCCCAGCACCCCTCCAAAAAACCTATAGTGACAGAGAACAGGTCAAGAACTAGAGGTGATAGGAGAGTATGACTATAAAGAAATAGCACAAGGGAGTTATTTAGGGGATAGACCAGTTCCATATCCTGACTGGGGCAGTGATTAAATGTGTCTATACATCACTTATTATTCATAGAGCTGTACTTCAAAAAAAGTCCATTTTATTGTATGTTAATGAAAAATAGAGTTTTTAATGTGGCATGACTTTTCTTTTATAAAAGCTCCACAAATGATTTGTGAACTCTTTTAGACAGTTTATATAATTGAAAGCTGTTTTAACCTAAATATGGTTTCTATTTTCAACATTTACTTTAAAAATAACACCATCCTATCATTAAGTAGTGAATGTTCCAGGAAAGTCTAGGCACATAGAGAGATCAATGAACTGTTCCAACTTTCAGCATATCAAGCCAATGTTGCTAACCTTGATACAACAGCAGGGTCAAAGTTCATACCAGAAAACATTAGTGGTTGCCTCACCCTTTCTTTCAAAACAGCCTCAAAGTCTTTGAAACTCTGAGAGGACATATATAACAATATACCACCTGCCGTCTTTCGAAGCTTGGAATAGGATGTGAGCAGATTGGTTTCTTCTTATTCTTTAATATTCTGAAAGCAACATGCTCTCTGGGGTGAGGGAAGAAATATCAAGTCTCATCCTTTACAAAGAGAACTAGAACTAGGTTTTCACTGAGATGAAAATGAAAGAGAACTGAACTTGAAGTTCTAAGTTTAACTGTTTGATCTTGGACAGCCTCAGAGAAGAGGAGAAGAATATCCACAGCAACCACCTAGATAAAGTTATAACCTGGTTGCTGCCTTAACGACTTATTTAAGATTGACATGCTAGGTGTTCGTGGGCACTTCTCAATGAGGATAAGAAGAGTATTTCAGTGCATCCTTTTCTTAGTGGGTGGACAATTTGATGATGAAATGTTCTGTCTTTAGAGATACTGAGGCAGGAGTTTTGCATGGGGGTGATGGACACTAATACCTACCTCCTCAGTTCTTTGGGAGGAATGAACTTGATAATTCCTGTGGAGTGATGAGCACTGTCCATGAATGTAAGCATCTCTCTGTAAATGCTGGTTTTCAGTAACTTGTGTTAACTGAGAAAATATATGTGAAATGCTTGAGAAACTGTATAGCAGCAAACGTGAGCTACTCTGAACATTATTTACAAAGGAGAGCCCAAGTTATTTGGTTCGAGTTGACTGTTGACCCCTGGGTAAAATGTTGCATGTCCTACACTTTTCATAGCATACTAGGTCCAAGTTTCATATTGTGCTCCCCAAATATTTCAGAGAAGACAGTCACGGTTGCAAGTCAGGCCTCTGTAACTTATAGAAAAGCCGAGATTGTTATAATATGCTCCACAATAAATTTTTAAATTTATTTTCCAGTTACAGTTGTATACAATATTATATTTGTTTCAGCTGTACAACATTGTCATTACACGTTTAGATTCCTCACAAAGTTCTCTCCCTCATCAGTACCCATCTGACATGATGAGACTTGAACCTGGAGAAATTGTGGTCCAGAGGTTTCCCTTCCCTATTCTCAAATACTTCATTGTTTAATGGGAGTAAAAATGTCTGCCCTCCCTCACGGCTGTTATCAAATGATGTGACACATGGAAGGAGACTTTGTCATTATAAAACGCTATACTAACATCAAGTGTTATGACATTGGCTTTTTCATAAA